AAACAAACTGAGGGTTCTAGAGGGGAGGGGGGTGGGTGGATGGGTTAGCCTGGTGATGGGTATTAAAGAGGGTCATTCTGCATGGAGCACTGGGTGTTAACACGCAAACAATGAATCATGGAACACTACATCAAAAACTAATGATGTAATGTAAGGTGATTAACATAACATAATAAAATTAAATTAAAAAGAAAAGGAAAAGAAAATAGCTCTATTGGTTGTTAATTGCAGGTATGAAATCATAATTCTGATTTCTGATTGCCTTCCCAAATTCTTCATCTTAAAATATTATGTATGTACCTGAACCAGATATTTAAAAAGTCAGTGGTTCTTAACATAGGTTTCAATGCTCATATTATGTATTCCTTCTGGAATAGGAGCCCTATCCTTTGTTCTGAAGGAAGAAGTCTTTAGAATGCCACAGATTATAATGGTTTGTAATTGTGTTGGCTTATTATTTATCTTCTGGATTTACTGTGGGTAAATCTAGATAAATTTAGATAAATTCTAAAATGTGTGATTCATTTTTACTATGACTTACAGGTAATGGTTTTTAAATATCTTTTATGTATTATGACTGTCATGCACCAATGGTTAATGTTGTAAAATGCCTATTCTGCATGAATATAGATAGTTTAATTATAGAAATTCAGACCAATATTTTGTTATTCTTACAATGGTGTTTTATCAAGTTCTTCTCATTTTCTCAGTGCTATTTTTATTTTATAATTGTGAATTGCCATTTTTTGTTGGATAAGTTTAAGATATTATTTACCATTACAGAATGTAGTCCTCTCCTTTAGCCTTTATAATTGTACCTAAATAATTAGGTATGTGTATATGCATTAATATAATATTGCTTTCCTTCAAATATGAAACACCCAAATGTCTAGTGCCAATTGGTGAGTACTTTGGGGTGGCAACAGAAAGATACCACTTGTTTCAGGGCTTATGTAAATACTCTGAGTGGTTTGATCATAGGGTGTTGGAACTAGGCTTTCCTGAAAATAATTTTATCTATGTGTAAACACCCTTTCTTGATTGAGGAATCCGATTCCCTTTATTCCTAAATATTTGCATACTATGGTTGAGAAGTTTTATAACTATATAAGCATTACTTTTGGCCTAATATTATGTTTTCAAGATAAAATATTCACTTTATAACTCTATTAATAGGAAACCTATGGTTCTTTATATCTTTCAGATATCTCTGTTAGAAGTATGATTAAGGAATTATCACCAAAAGAGGATATTAACAAAGAAGAATTATTCCAAACATTGATGTTGGAAAGACACAAAAGAAACGACATCAAGGATTTGGGTTTTAGAGAAGTCCAGCAAAATATGCATGAGTTTGAAAGTCAGTATACATATGATGAAACAAATTACAAAGGAGTAACCGCAGCCCATAACCAAAATTTCACTGGTAGAAGAGGTCAACAGCGTAACAAATCCTGGAATGATTTCCCTCTAAAGCAGAGTGTTTCTGTAAGAAAAAGTACTTATCAATATTACAAACATGAGAAGTCATATAAAAGGTATTTGTTAAAACTAAAAAATAACATAACCTGTGCAGGAAACAAGTATATAAAATGTTTTGAAAATGGAATTGGATTAAAGTTTCAGTTGCATCTGGCTGACCTTCAGAATTTTCAAACTGAAGAGAAAATTTATGAATATAGTCAAGTTGAGGAGTTGATCAACAGTAGTTCTGTTTCACCACTTCAAAGAATTCCTCCTAGCATCAACATGAACATCTGTAATAAATCTGGGAAACTTTTTATGCATCCTTCATTACTTACACATCAAAAAACACCTATTAGTGAAAAACCTTACAAATGTAATGATTGTGGGAAGGCTTTTAGAGAAAGCTCAAACCTCATTAGTCATCAGAGAATTCATTCTGAGCAGAGGCCTTACAAATGTAATGAGTGTGGCAAAGCCTTTACCCAGTTTGCAAAACTTACTAGACATCAGAGAATCCATACCAGAGAGAAACCATATAAATGTAATATATGTGGCAAGGGCTGTAGTCAGAATTCAAATCTTGCACGGCATCAGAAAATTCATACTGGAGAGAAACCTTACAAATGTAATGAGTGTGGCAAAGTCTTTTCTGAGTATTCAAGCCTTACTCGACATAAGAGAATCCATACTGGAGAGAAACCTTATAAATGTGATGAATGTGGGAAGACTTTTAGAGGAAGCTCGAATCTCACCAATCATCAGAGAGTTCATTCTGGGCAGAGACCTTACAAATGTAATGAGTGTGACAAATCCTTTAACCGCATATCACACCTCACTAGACACCAGAGAATCCATACTGGAGAGAAACCATATAAATGTAGTGTATGTGACAAGGTCTGTAGTCAACATTCAAATCTTATAATTCATCAGAGAGTTCATACAGGAGAGAAGCCTTACATATGTGACGAGTGTGGCAAAGCCTTTATGGAGCGTTCAAGCCTTACTCAACATAAGAGAATCCATAGTGGAGAAAAGCCTTACAAATGTAAGGAATGTGGCAAAGCCTTTAACCAGTCCTCTAACCTTGTCATACATCAGATAATTCATACTGGAGAGAAGCCTTATAAATGTAATGAGTGTGGCAAAGCCTTTAATGTGTGTTCAAGCCTTACCCGACATCAAAGAATCCATACTGGGGAGAAGCCTTATAAATGTAATGAATGTGACAAGGCCTTTACCCAATTTGCAAATCTTACTAGACATCAGAAAACGCATACTGAAAAGAAACATTGTAAACCTAATATATGTGGAAATGCTTTTATCCAAAGATCAAGCACTGGGGATTATCAGAGAATTTGTAGTGAAGAGAAACCTCACAAATGTCATGTGTGTAGCAAAACCTTTAATGTGTGTTCAAGCCTTACTCAACATCAAAGAACCCATACTGAACAGAAGCCATGTAAAAGTCATGTATTTGGTAAAGCCTGTAACCAGGGCTCAGAGTTAATTAGACACCAGAATATGCATCTTTGAAAGAAAGCACAAAAATGTAATGGGTGTGGCAAGGCTTTTATCCAAAGATCAAGCATATGTAATATTATCTCCTACTGGAGAGAAACCTTATAAATGTAATGAATGTGTTAAACTTTTATGAGATGTTCAGATGTTTACCCAAGGGGTCATGAGAGAATTCACATCAGAGAGAAAACATAAAAATGTATTGAAAATGGTAAGGCCTTTAGACAACGATCTGACCTCAGGATTCACCAAAGAATTTACATTGTAGAGAAACCTTAAAACTGTAATGAATGTGATAAATTATTTAACCATTTCTCACAATCGGCTACACATCAGATAATTCATAGTAGAGAAAACAGTCTCTTCTTCTGAAAGATTATTCAATTAAATTCTAAATAAATTTAATAATTGATAATTGATTAATTAAAAATCAAAATGATAATACCTATAATGGCTGTCAAAGTTACAAGGATCCCCGTGGAAAGGTCCTGTTACCTTCATTTTATTAAATAGTTTATTTCGGGTTTCTTGAAAAGGCCAAATTACTATCAATGACTTTCATCCTGAGGTTTGAAATCTGTTGATAATATACTTTCATTACAGTCCTTTCATGTTACCATGAAGATCTCTTGGAAAGGTTTAATAAGATAAAAGGGCAGACTTCATTAGGTGATGTTCATTCATGTCCAGAATTTCCTGGAAGAACAAGAACACTGAATTTATAATCCAATATAATATAAATTTGAATGACAGCATGAGTGGCATATAAGAGATGTAAAACTATGATCTAAGTCATGATTAATGTGTTAAGGACCCTCTTCTCCAGATTTGTTGTTATGGGGCTTTTATGGTGGAGCTGAGGAGAGGGTACTGAATGTGGCTTAAACTTTCCACCGGTGACAAAGAGTACACAGCCTTTCTAATCAGCCTACATAGGTGTGAGGTAGAATGGGAGGAGGGATGGGAGACTTAAAAGCTGTTAATAGTCAAATAATAAAAATGAGGTTAGACTAATTCAACACTGAACATTTACTTTTGAAGTGTCTCACTCCTTGGTTGGGAAAGACCACAATTTTCCTCATGCTAATAACTGCATTTCCTTTGCTGCTGCACAGGTAGGATTCTTTATACAATATGTTATTGAACGTGTTTGTGAAATACTCTTTAGATAAATTGTGATATTTTTGTGGTATTTTCATGAAAATTAATGTGTAGAAGTTTTATCAGACAATAAATATGATTTAAGGATTTTACTAGGAGAGCAATTTTTTGAAGCCTAGAAAAATCTAAATTTGAGATTATGGTAACAAGCCTTATGGTTCATGGTTCTTTTTCAACTGTGTTGGAAATTCATTTTAATTTTCTTATAAAATTTTTCCTTACCACTTTTCCCTCCACACGTTTTAAATCAATTTTTATATATGTAATTTACATTTCATCCCTTTAGTCAGTAAAAAATTTGGAGGCTGTATGACAAAGGGGTGGTTTTGAAACTTCTGTAACATAAAAATGGGAGGTACAAAATAAGTGCTTTGTGAATGTAAAGAAAGAGGGTCCTTTATGTCTTTAGTTCAGTGTTAATAACTGCAGTGGTACAAGATGAACTGACATCTTGAAATGTGAAGGCAGGAGACCTAAATGCTTCCCTGAAAGTCACACTGGAATTTTGGTTAAAAATATGCTCATTTCACCGGAAAAGTATATAAAATTCATTCTTTTCCTGCCATTATAATTGCTATCATCATCACTTCTGCAGTGGAGATTGGGCCCTATATCTCCAAGGTCTTGAGGCCAGAGTCAGTCTGTCAGAATGTTTTCCTGAATTCAATGTAAATACATTAGATATTTGTTCATTTTATTTATATATAATTCACATGCCATAAAATTGATAACAGTGTACAATTAAGTGGCTTTTTGTTTATTCACAATTTTGTAAAACCTATCAGTACTAACTCCAGAACAATTTCATCACCCTACAAAAAACCCCATACTCTAACACTCCACACCCCCACCCCTTGGAAACCAGCACTGTAATTTCTATGTTTGTCCCAATTCTGGGCATTTCATATAAATGAAATCATACAATGTGTGGCCTCTCGTGTCTACCTTTTGTATATGGTATGAGGTAGGGGTCCAACTTCATTCTTTTCCATGTAGATTTCCAGTTGTCCCATCTATTCAATATTTTTAAGCATCAGAGTTCCTTTACTAGATTTTAAAATATCAAAATTGCTCTTTCATTGGGATGAATTGATAGGACCAGTGGGCCATGGAACCAATACAGTCATGCTGGTTGAGATTTTTAGACTTTGAAAATACAGAAATAGTAATATTCTGAGGTATTGTAACAATCTGTGTTTGGTCAGGAGAACATATACATACAATTATATAAGAGTAAGAATTATATAAATTAAGTCAAGAGTTTATAAGGAGTTTGAGCAGTGAAATGTATGAAAGACTGGTGGATCATAGAGTAAGTCACTGATAACTACATCCTAAAGCCCCATGGTGGGTGGGGAAGCCAAAGATCATGCATATGTTTGAGAAGTTACTGCCTCTGGTTGCCTTAAATATGTAGTTAGAACTGGTGAGAAGGTCTGCAAAATCTTTATCTGGTCACTGGTTTCTCCTGAGATTAACATTTTCTGCTTCACTTTTGCCTTCCAAATTCCATATAGGTTTTTCTCATTGGCAAACTTCAGTGAGAATCATACAGCATTTAAAAGCAAAAGTATGGACCACAGCAGACTGGGACAAGGGATGATGGGACAAGCATTAGAAAGACCAAACGCATGGGGAGAGACTGAGGAGAAAAAAATGTGTGTGGAATAAAGTCCACAGATACTGGAGAATAAAGTACCTGAGAAAACCATAAGCTATTTCATCTGGCTCTGCACACACAGAAAGTGAAGGTAAAGACAGAGTGTTAAATGGAGTGTCACAACTAAGAGCAAATCTGCAAACAAATGGAAAATAATCTGTTTTCTTTTCCTCCTCTTTTTCTTTTCCTCTTTTCTTTCTTTTAGCTCTAGGCATTTGGTGAAATTTCTGTCAAACCACAATATGATAACTAAGCTAATGGAAGAGAGACTACATTTATCACACATGATAATGAAGACAGCCTTTACAAAATTTGTTTGGAAAAGTCACTAAACAAATTATAACCCACAACAGTCAGCAAAAACAAACCCTAAAGAAGAAGGAGAATCTGATTTCTAGAGTTCCTCATTATATTTTAAAAGCAAGTTTTCAACAAAATTGTGAGGAATGCAAAGAAACAAAAGTATGGCTCAGTCACAGAGAAGAAAAAGAAGGAGGAGAAGAAAGAAATTAAGAGAAACTGTTTTGAGGATGCGCAGACTTTGGATTTCAAACTGAAATGAGAATGAAATTAGTAATATGAAAATAGAAAACACTGGTAAAGTATATAGTCAAATTCATAATACTTTATGAAAGGACAAAAGAAAAAAAATATATGCATATATATACACATATATATATACGCACACACACAATGTTTATTAATGCACTTACAATGTAAAAAGAGTGACATCGAAAACAAAATGTTGGGAATAAAGAATAAAGTTCTTTTCTAAAAAAATTTTTCATTTTTTAAGTAATCTCTACACCTACTGTGGGCCTTGAACTCACAACCCTGAGATTGAGAGTTGCATGTTCTATCGACTGAGCCAACCAGGTGCCCCAAATAGTAAAGTTTTATGTGCAATCAAATTTAAGTTATCAGCATAAAATAGACTTTGATCTATGAGATGGTTTATGTAAGCCTTGTGATAACAACAAAGCAAAACCCTACAATACATACACATAAAAAGAAAAGGAAATTAAGACATACCACTATAGGAAATTATCAATTCCTAAAGGAAGTCAGAAGGAGGAAAAAGAGGAATAAGGGAACTACAAATTAGCCAGAAAAGCAATTGGTAAGATGGCATCACTAAGCCCTTACCTATCAATAATTAGTCTGAATGTAAATGAATGAATTATCCAATCGACATACAGTGACTGGATGGCTTTAAAAAAAAAAAAAAAGACTCTCCCTTTGCAACCCTGTTGGGACCCCTCTCACTATTGAGAGCTTTTTCTGTATCTTCACTTAATAAACTACTATCACTTTACTCAAAAAAACAAAAACAAAAAACACTCAAGTGAATGCTGCTGACAAAAGAGTTGAGATTTAAGGATACACATAGCCTCAAAGTGTGGGGACGGAAAGAGATATTCCATGCAAATGGAAACCAAAAGAAAGCAGGAGTCGCTCTAGTTATATGAGATACAATAAACTTCAAGTCCAAAGCTGTAACAAGACAAGGTGATTATATAATAAAAAGGGATCGATTCATCAAGAGGATATAACAATTGTAAACATATATACACCTAACACTGGAGTACCTAAATATATCAAGCAAATACTAACAGATCTAAAGGCAATAATAAATAGCAGTAAGTGTAGGGAAATTCAATACCCTACTTGCAACAATGGCTAGAATATTTTGACAGAAAATCAACACAAAAACATTGGACTTGAGCTATTCTTCAGACCAAAAGGACCTAACAGACATATGCAGATTATTTCATACAATAGAACCAGAATATGCATTCTTCTCAAGCACACACACAACATTGCCCAGGATAGGTCCTATGTTAGGTCTACAAAATGCATCTTAGTAAATATTAGATTGAAATCATACCAATTATCTTTTCTGGACACAATAGTATGAAACAAATGATAACAGGATTAAAAATGGAAAGGTCACAAATATGTGGAAATTAACACACTACTCAACAACTGAGGAGTCAAAGAAGAAATCAAAAGAGAAACAATATTCTGAAACAAATGAAAATAGAAACACACCCTGACAAAACTTATGGGATGGATCAGAAGAAATTCTAAGAGGAATGTCGATAACAATACCTACATTAAGGAAAAAAAATTTCAAACTTCACCCCTCAAGGCACATCTTCTTTTTCTTGTGCTAACCCCAAGTTAGCAGAAGGAAAGAAATAACAGTGATCAGCACAGAAATAAATGAAATAGGAAAAAACAATAGAAAAGATTAAGGGAACTGAAGACTACTTTTTAAAAGTTTTAAAATTCCAGTTAGTTAACACAGTGTTATATTTGCTTCAGGTGTACAATATAGTGTTTCAACACTTTCATACATCACCCTGTGTTCACCACAAGGGCACTCCTTAAACCCCATCACCTACCTAACCCATCCCTCCCACCCTCCTCCCCTCTGGTAATCATCAGCTTGTTCTCTATAATGAAGAGTCTGTTTCTCTGTTTGTCCCCTCCTCCCCTCCTTTTTCCCTTTGCTCATTTGTTTTGTTTCTAAATCCCCCATATGAGTGAAATCATAAGTTATTTATCTTTGAGTTACTTTGCTTAGCATTATACTCTCTACGTCCATCCGTGTCATTGGAAATGGCAAGATTTCATTCTTTTTATGGCTGAATAATTCAAGGTACATATATACCACACTCCATGTATCAATCGACACTTGGGCTGCTTCCATATCTTGGCTATTGTAATTAATGCTGCTATAACCATAGGAGGGCTTGTATCCCTTTGAATTAATGTTTTTGTATTCTTTGGGTAAATATTCAGTAGTGTGATTGCTGGATCATTAGGTATTTCTATTTTTAACTTTTTGAGGAATCTCCATATTGTTTTCCACAGTGGCTGCACCAGTTTGCATTCCCACCACCAACCGTGCACAAGGGTTCCTTTTTCTCCAAGTCCTTGCCAACACGTGTTTCTTGTGTTGTTAATTTTAGACATTCTCACAAATGTGAGGCGATATCTCATTGTAGTTTTGATTTGCATTTCCCTGATGGTAAGTGATGATGAACATCTTTTCATGTATCTCTTGGCCATCTGGATGTCTTCTTTAGAGAAATGTCTATTCATGTCTTCTCATTTTTAAATTGGATTGGTTGTTTTTTGGGTGTTGAGTTTTATAAGTTCTTTATATATTTTAGATACTAGCCCTTTACCAGATATGTCATTTGCAAATATCTTCTCCCATTCTGTAGGGTGCCTTTGAGTTTTTGTTGACTGTTTTCTTCTCTGTGCAGAAGCTTTTTATTTTGATGAAGTCCCATTTGTTTATTTTTCCTTTTGTTCCCTTGCCTCAAGAGACATATCTAGGAAAAAGTGCAATGGCCAGTGTGGAAGAGGTTACTGCCTGTGTTATATTCTAGGATTTTTACAGTTTCAGGTCTCATAGTG